GCCCGTGGGGACCCCCACAATTCCCTTCCACCCTCGGAGGGGGCCCGACGGAGGCGTACCCCGTGGGCCCCGCTCTTTCCCTCGCATAGCGGCCACTCTTCGGATCGCTGGTCGAGCGACCCGGGGGATGCCCCGCGCGCCTGACCCAGGCGCGAAAACGAATCTGCGAGGCGTGGCCGCTCATGCGGCCCGATGGGGAGGAACGGGGCGAGCCCCCTCCAACCCACCCGCGCTAGGTCTCGGGGGACGAAGGGGTCACACCCGACGACCTCGGGAACTAGCCGGGGCAGTCGGAGAAGTGGCAACTCCGTGCACTGACGGTCGGCCGCCAGAAAACACGCCTCCGTGGCTCGGGTTACACCAATCCTCGCTACCCAACGCGGCCAAAGGATATCCACCTCGAGAACCTCGAGAGAGAACGAAGGCACCAAGCCCTTTCTGTTTTTTCAAAAAGCGGCGGTTTTGGCCAGAGTCTCCGACGGGGGAACATCTAGACTGGCCATGCTCAAGGCTGCCTCGCTTCTGTTCGTCGCTCTGTCGGCGTCTGCCCTGCCGGTGCGTCGCTCCGCCCAGCCGCAGTTACTCACATGCAGGCTGAGCCTACACGCATCACACGAGTGCGCAGGCCAACACCGTCAACGACATCAACCCAACCGCTCGCAACACCACCTTTGCGCCCAAGCCCAACCCTCCCGTGCCCGACCCGGTGAATGATCCCGCCTGGCTGATCGCCACCTCCGGCTTCTGCTCGAACCTCAACGTCGTGATGAAGGAGCGCGACGTCGAGGCGAGCGAGACGGAGGGCGATACCGCGGCCCACTTCATCGCCGGCATCGAGTTCAACTACTACCCGCAGACGGCGGTCAAATTCACCGATTTCCCTCACCACCTCGCGAAGACCATCGAGGGCGACGCGGCAGAGGCGGACGCGCTGGTCTCAAGCGCGTGGGATCACAAGAACATCGCGCTGCTCGAGCCCACGTCCTCGTGCGGCGCTGACAAAGACCAGGCTTGGGGCATCTCGGTCTTCAAGGTGGAGGAGCACCGCCCTTGCGCGGACGGCGAGACTGCGTGGGAGGGCCACCCCTGCGTCCACTACTCCGGCTACGTGTCGGCGGCTACGTCCAACTTTGTCAAGGTGAATGAGGGGCGATTCGTCTGCCAGCTGTTCGTCGACTCTAACGCTTGGTGCGAAGACGCCCTCAGCCTCGCCAATAGATTTAAGAGAGAGGGAGTATACTGGGGAGTGTGGAGTTCCCATTGTTAGGTAAGATGGCTGTGTAGGAGAGCTTAGCACGGTTCGTCTGCCAGCTGTTTGTCGACTCAGATGAGAACTGTGCCGCGGAGTTGCAATGCCTCGCCGTACCCGTCGCGCTGCCCCACACGGGGCTGTGCTGCCAGGCGGAAGCAGTCGCCATCACTGCACTTGCGGACCTGTCGTCGTGGACGCGTCCGCAAGTCGGAAAAAACTTGCGGGTGCGGTATGTCTCGGGGACCGAGAGAGCGATGTGCTTGTGTCCGCCTTGTGTTTGTTTTTTCCTACCATCGATGGCTAGCTCAAAAAAACTTACTCGCCGGAAAAACGAATACTTTTGTCCACAATGTGGAGGGGCCCGCCGCAAACTGCCAAACTTGTCACCACCGGGTCGGCCCGGCCGTGCTCACGCCCTCCCCTCTCATGACACCTTGCACACTATTCATACCCTTTGCGGCGCTCCTTCGTCCGCCGACGCAACGCTGGTCGCCGGCCTTGTCTGCAGCGATCTCCGCCTCGAGAGGCGCCGAGCAGCTCTCAGCCATGCAGCTGACCGCCGAGAGTGAGAAGAAGCGGAAGCAAAAGGGCGAGAGCCAGGTGGAGAGGCGGCAATACAACAGCGTGCTCGGGGAGCTGGAGTCGTCCAAGCTGTATGGTCAGACGCCCAAGATGTTTGAGCTCGACCAGCTCGCAAACATGCTGCGGAAGGGACGGCTCAACCTGTTCCCAAAGTACCAACGCGACTATGTGTGGAAGCCGGAGCGGGCCAGCCGGCTCGTGGTGACCGTGCTGTGCAACCGCATCGTGCCGGGCGTGGTGCTGCACGAGAAGGAGAAGGGGGTTTACGATGTGGTCGACGGCAAGCAGCGGCTCACCTCGCTACTCTGCTTCTACATGGCAAGCGAGGACCGTAGCTTCCTCGCGACGCTCATGCGGCAGCCGCCCGTCTTCGAGAGGCTCTCGAAGCTCGATGAGAATTACGAGGACCTCAACGGCCTCTCGTACTCTCACCTCTCGCGCGAGCGTCAGTTTGCGCTGCAGTCCTTCACCGTTTCCTGCACCATCATCCCGCACGACACGCCGCGCCAGGAGGTGTTTGCAGCCTATGAGGACATCAACTCGGGGGGCGAGGACCTCAAGGCGCAGCAGCTTCGTCGCGCCGCCTACTTTGGTGCCTACATCGAGCTGCTTGACAAGCTGGCCACGAACCTCGATTTCCAGTATGTGCGGGACCCGCGAGCGGCGCGCGCTGGCACGTACACCCTCGACCCAAAGGAGTCGGACCGTGAGATGATCCTGCGCGCCTTCGCCTTCAACCGTGGCTGGCAAGGCTACATTCGGCCTGTGAAGACCTTCCTCAACCTCGAGCTCGAGAGCTTTGAGGAGCTCGACGAGGCGCGCAAGCCGGTGACCCTCCGTGAGCTGGAGGAGGAGTTCTGTTGGGTCCTCAAGACGGCGCGGCAAGTCTGGGGTCCGGAGGACGCGTTTGCCCGCAAGTGGGAGCCCTCCCGTTCTTGCGACGAATGGGTCTGGTCCAACTCGGTCAGCCTTCAGCTGTGGGACGTCATGTACTCTGTACTCGCGGAGCTGAGGCTCGAGAACTTCTCGACGCTCTCCTTCACGCAGAGTGCGGGCGGCATCGTCAATGCCTTCAAGCGCCTGTTTGAGCGCGACCTGCTCGATATGGGCGGGCAGGTGACTGTCGCCAAGTTCGCTGCGCGGCGCGACCTCGTCAAGGCGACACTGAAATCGCAGCTGCCGCAGCCACTCTCGAGCAGCCGCAGCTTCGCCAACCCCGAGGCGCTGCGCCTCCGCTGCTTCTCGGCCCAGCTCGGCGCGTGCGCCATCTGCGGTCAGCCGCTGGACCCTTCGCGGCTGCACGACGGCACGTACGCGCACCTCGATCATCGGGTGGCATGGGCGAGGGGTGGGCGCACAACGGCGGAGAACGCGCAGCTGGTACACGCCGGCTGCAATCTGAGCAAGGGCGCGGGGGGGGGCTCAGGCTCAGCGTGCCCGCGTGGCGAGGGTTGAGAAGCGGATCTTGCTCGAAGTAGTCAAGAGAGCTCAAAAGTTGTGAAATGTATTGTTTGATGCACGGACGAAATGAACCACACATAAACTAAACAGGGGTCCCGTACCATGCGGAATCGACCCTAGCGCCCAGACAGGCGGGCGCCGATGCGGTGGGAGGGGAGGGAGGCTCTCCCAACGCTTTCTTCTTTTCATCGCGCGTTATCCCGTCTCAACTCTCTCGGTTGGAAGGCCGTCCAAATCTTCATTCAAATCTCGAGCGAATCTTATCTCGAGCGAACTATATAGCGGTACGTGCACACGTGCACACAGTCCTAGCTGTGAGCCGTACGTCCGTACGTGACACACCGCACACGTACACGGCACCAGAGAAGCATGCTGCATGGGATGAGGGGCGAGAGACTAACATGATAGCTCACCACGGGACGGCCCCGAGCGCGAGCCCTCTACAGCAAGGCAAGAGAACAGACTCGCGCCGTCGCCATCGGAGACACCTCCCCCCATGCGTTTGTGGCCGGGTCGAATATCTCCACCGTGTTGCGGATCACGCCCTCGTCCTCCTCGTCCTCGTTCTTGCCGCCCACGGCGTACAGCTTGCCGTCGAGCACCGCCACGCCGACAGCAGCCCGCGACACCGCCATCGGCGCCATCTCCTCCCACGCATTCGCCGCCGCATCGTGCCGCTCGACCGAGCTGAGGGTGTCGTCGTCGTTCAAGCCTCCCACGGCGTACAGTTGAGCACCGCCACTGTGAGCTCGTCCCGAGCCGTTGCCATCGGCGCCACCGCCTCCCAGGCGTTCGTCGCCGGGTCGTACCGCTCCACCGAGCTGAGGGCGCCGCCGCCACACCCGCCAACAGCGTACAGCTTGCCGTCCAGCACCGCCACGGCGTGATAAAACCGCGCCTTTGCCATCGGCGCCACCGCCTCCCACACGTTCGTCGCCGCGTCGTACCGCTCGACCGAGCTGAGCACGTTGTAGCCGTCATCCTGCCCGCCCACCGCGTACAGCTCACCGTCGAGCACCGCCACGCCGAAAGCTACCCGCCGCACCGCCATCGGCGCCACCGCCTCCCACGCATTGGCAGCCGGGTCGTACCGCTCGACCGAGCTGAGGCGATTGCGGCCGTCATCCTGCCCGCCCACCGCGTACAGCTTGCCGTCGAGCACCGCCACGGCGTGATCACACCGCGCCGCCGCCATCGGCGCCACCGCCTCCCACGCATTGGCAGCCGGATCGTAACGCTCCGCCGAGATGAGGCGC